CTATATACTTCCGGTTTGGGTGGAGAGAAGAAAAGACTGAAAATTTGAAAGAAGCTTCAGTTTCTATTATTTTTAATGTCATGAATTGACATAACCACAGAAAAAAATTATCAAATAAAACGATATTTTTGAAAATGTGTAGCAAAGCTAAACAGCATCGTAGAAATAGGACCGCGGTAACTCTATGCTAGCTACTTTCGTGACAAAGGATTTTGGAAGCGTACATGTTACCGGAAAAGAGCTTCCCTTCTTGCGCCTTCGCCGCAAGAAGAGCTGCGCTCTTATTAATTGCGGAGTTTTGTAAAAACAATAATGTATGCTGCAAAGGTAGACAACACAACCATTTATTCTGTCGTCACTTCATCTAAACATGAAACTGAAAATCTACGCAGAAAATAAAATGTACCGTTCAGATTTGACAATACTTGACTTTCTCATGATGTGAAGATATACCATTTAGTATATCTTCACTGTATTAGAGATATGTTTTTATGAAATGATGAATTCATGATATTTCACTAGTAAGATGTAATAAACACGGATACCGTAAGGTTAACTTTCATATTTTTGTAGACAGTATGCGGCCTCAATTTCCCAGAAGGCTTTCACGCATGGGGAAGCACCGGAAGTGGACAAAGTGTTTACAGATCAAACCCCGGCGCTCTGCGCCGCTTGGGAGTTTGAAAAAAAATTGTGTCGCGTTGAGTGACAACTATATTTACTGGTGTGGCAGAATATATCCATATTTCGGCTCGTAATTCCCGACCGTGAAAAAAATTCTATATTATGCCTCACACTAGAAATGCATATGGTACAATGTAGTCAAAATTAGTCAAATTTTCTCCAGAACATACCTTCCTAGTTTTTTCCATCTACAATCATCATACTTTCTATATTTATGATACTAACTTAGTAAAGTCGAGCTGTGTCTGTGGCTGGTTGGATGCCTGCCTGCACGTTACATGTTGGCAGAGTCGACGCGACCTTTGGGTACCTTGTAGGGCCAATGGTACACAGGGAGGAGCCACGAGGACCTAGTCTTGCGTAAAAAAAAAACGTCTTGGGGGAGAATAGTGTAACAGCAAAGGAGGGGGGAGGGGCCTGCCTTACTGACAGGCTAGTTTTCCAGCAATGTGGTATAACCCTGGGACGCGCTGAGTTCAACGTAGCGAGCGGGATTGATTGGTTCCCGCTCAAACGTTACAGTATGAACAATGTATATGTCCATATTCTGTATCCATCATTTTGCCTCTTTAATCACTGAGCAATACACACTGAGTATAAATATATACTTACGGATGTGATAAGCGTCTTTTGTTCCTCCCCTGCAGAACATGTGATATATATACTCGTGGTCAGTGCATAAAGGTCATGCATCATCTACACGTAGTCAGTGAGAAGCCATTCACCTGTCACACGTAATGTTCAGGCGACGTATACTTTTGTGCTACATGCGTTTATCTTTGTTGACCGTGTTTGATGTGTAAGTTAATGTTCACTGTCACATTGCATACGGAACGCGCATGTGGGATTCCGTAGTGTATCCCACATGGGTGCACTCAGTGACCTTAACTATTATGACGTCACAATAAGATGACGACGATATATTTAAACATTGAAGTGGAAAGCTAGCTGGGAAAAAGCGAACTCAGTGAATCGCGCTGTTGGATTTGACCTTGTCCCTATTGCATTCATAGTTCTATCAACGCCAGCTAAAAGAAATTCTATATTTACTATATTTTTAATCTGTTTATTTCATAGAAAATTCAATTTCTCTTATTATCATTTAGCTTAAATATTGTATTTATCGTATATACTTGTTCAATAACTAAAAAACAGTCATCTGTCCAAGGAGGGTCAGTGTCATCCACCGTAACAATTATGGCATAATAGTATTGATGACGTCAACAATCGAAGCTGTGAGTATAAGGGTGCTGCTGAGTCATGGACATTTTGTCGACATGTTTTTCGAGTCGTGGTTTTCATCATTCGTGTGTGATTGCTGGCGTGTGGGAGAGTACCCTATCCAGGGTAATTATGTCAAATCGGTGTAAAATATTTCTTCCGTAACTTAGTTACGAGTTTTAATTGTGTCCCAAGTAAATACATGTTTTAACTTACAGCGGACTTTATCAGATCAGCAATATCAAAGTGAATACCCGATCCATCTTGCAGACAGTGCGCTACCAAGCCAATCAACTGTATCCCATCACGTCTCTCGCTATTATGACTACGTCATCATAATCTTGTACGGTAGGTTTACTGATCTTGTAAAACTTTAACATTCTTGTAAACAACATCCGTAAATAGAGCTCCTGTGTTACGCAGTCTGTTCACATTCTTCTTTAAAATTCCTTATCGACCTGTACGATAAAAACAGACTGTTGCGTGTGTTAAATTCACTTCGGTTTTTGTTTTTGAAGGATGGTATGATTGGTTTACGACACATTCTATGGAGACTATGGAGACATTCTACCCCAATCAAAGGACAAGGACTTGATTACATTGCGTCGATATGAAAGTCGTTAGATAACAAAATAGAAGTCCAACATTAAGCTGACCGACTCAACTGATTTGCACAAAGCGTATCCGTAGAATTTTCGACTCACTGCAAGCATAACATTATAGCATTTTACTTAGGTTTTTCACATATGCAGTAACCTCCTCTTAATTTCGTTTTAGATATACAACCTCTGTGGTGGGCCGACTGGGCCTGATATATATAACCTCTGTGATGGGCCGACTGGGCCCGAGATATATAACCTCTGTGGTGGGCCGACTAGGCCTGAGATATATATAACCTCTGTGGGGGCCGACTTAGCCTGAGATATATCAACTCTGTGGTGGGCCGACTGGGCCTGAGATATATAACGTCTGTGGTGGGTCGACTGGGCCTGAGATATATAACCTCTGTGGGGGCCGACTTAGCCTGAGATATATAACCTCTGTGGTTGGCCGACTGGGCCTTAGATATATAACGTCTGTGGTGGGTCGACTGGGCCCGAGATATATAACCTCTGTGGTGGGCCGACTGGGCCTGAGATATATAACGTCTGTGGTGGGCCGACTGGGCCTGATATATACAACCTCTGTGGTGGGCCGACTGGGCCTGATATATATAACCTCTGTGGTTGGCCGACTGGGCCTGAGAACTACAGTTGGTTAGAGCGACAGTCCCTGGATCTGAGAGTCCATGCTTTGATTTTTTGTTGCCCCCATTACTTTTTTTACGTTCAGACACAGTTGTTGTTGTTGTTGTTGTCAGTGCTGTTGTTTTTCATCTTTTATTTTTAAACTATGGGTATGTTTTTTTCTTTTCAGCAATGATTTGTCAATGAGATTAACTCTTCTTAACTAACTGATTAACTTAACTAACTGGTTAACTTAACCCAGTGCATAGTGGTAAAAATCAATTTATTGCCACTAAAAGACTAAGGCTTTCAAAGCAGAAGAAAGCCTCAAAACACATCAATCTGATTGGTCTAAGCAAATACATTGCAGTGAAATGATGTCAGATGATATTGATTGTGTTGTATCCAAATTTCAAAACTATCCCTAACCACTGGTTAACTCTAGCAAACATTTGAGAACTGGACCAGAGCACTACAAATTAAGATGTGGTGAGAACTGGGCCAGAGCACTACAAATTAAGATGTGGTGAGATCTGGGCCAGAGCACTACAAATTAAGATGTGTTTTTTTTGATATGGTACAATATAACCCTGTAACACATTCTATAATTACATTTTAGCTATTACAACACAAAGACTTTGAATCAACAGTGGAGGTTGCGAAAGCAATCAAATCTAAAGTAGGTGTGCAGCTGATTTCATTTCTTTACTGAACAATTAAATTACTATATGAGAGTCAAAACAAGCTGATATCGATATTTAACAATAAAATGACGTCATTCATTTACACTGTAAGGAAATTGTCAAAAGTCTTATGCTATTGAAGATGGGTTCCAGTTCATCTTTGGCAATAATTTATCATCTGAAAAATACAAAGCCTGGACAATATTTTTTCCAGTAGCCATTTTTTTTTTGAAAATTCCATAAATACCACTAGTCTGGGCTCATATAATGTAGCAACATGTATGTCATACATATACTTTACATATTTATATACTGTATGCGTCGACTCATTTGATCTGGAGGAAATTGTATCGACTAAGTTGATCTAGGGGAAATACATGTATGGTTGTGGGTGTTTATATTGATTGTACAGATTGAGGCAAGATAATACCTGAAACCCCTTGTTTTAAAGTAGACCAGTCCTACACTACACTAAGAAACCGGTGGTAATTGGTAAGACCTGTATTAAAACACAATACAATTGCTTTACAAAATCATTCTGGTCGTCTACTGTAAATTTTCGTTCTCAGTAACTTACAACCAGAATTCCCTGTCTAACGCGTAATAAAATGATAGTATTAAAAACCCAGCGTTAACTCGTCCCTAGTCTTAACAATAAAATGATAGTATTAAAACCCAGCGTTAACTCGTCCCTAGTCTTAACAATAAAATGATAGTATTAAAACCCAGCGTTAACTCGTCCCTAGTCTTAACAATAAAATGATAGTATTAAAACCCAGCGTTAACTCGTCCTTAGTCTTAACAGGTTTTAAAGAGTTCATTAATACGAAATACTAAATTCTCGGCATTTACCCAAGTTATGTTTCATAAAACGATTGTTTCGGTTTGATGAGGTCTGCGCAGCTTTGCTGCAATTAAATGACAGAGGACTCGTTTACGGTAAATTAATCAATGTTTCAATTAATTTAAATACATCATTAATCGACATGTCTATTAACCGGTTGTTAATTGTTAGATGACATGACGTCTTTACCGCCCGTTATTGTGTTTAACATGTGAATCATTTGTTACAACATGATCAAAAAACATATGGCGTCATAAAAAACACTCACGTGACAGTACTTATGACGTCACAGAGGTTACTACATGAAACAAAGGTCATGACGTCATAGATTGTTGTTTCTAGGTGATTGAACCATGTAGTGCCGTCAAGTCAACTCGCGTACCAGACGAAAGTAGTTAGGCAAGGAGATTAAAAAAGGGAAAAGGATGGCATCAGGTGGAAATGAACGGTCGTCTATTTCCCATCACAAACAAGCGGGTGGGTACAAGCAGAAACTGTTCGAGAAAAGAAAACATCTGAAGCAGCATGTTGGTGACCAAAAACAAACAAAAACCGTGGAGCATCTTTCGGAGACGGTCCTGAATGGATTTGAGGTGCTTTGGCGTCAGAACTTCCTCTGTGACCTGGCAGTTATCACTAGGGAGAAAACGTTTCACGCTCACAAACTCGTACTTGTGTCGTGTTCAGACCACTTCTACGATCACTTCGTTGAAAAGCGTGATTTTACCCACGGGGACGAGTTGGTCAATCTGGCCGACCTGGACTCAGCCATATTTGAGGCAATTCTGGAATGCATGTACACTGGGAAAATCAACCTTACAGAAGGTAACGTGGAGGAAATATTACGGGTCGCTACAAGTCTCGGATTTTTCCTTATACAGGATGCATGCGAGGAGTTCTTCATGGACCACTTAGACCTTAAGAACTGTCTTCAAATGCTTGATACTGCATTTAAGTATAGTCTGAACAGACTGAGCGATAAAGCCCTCGGACTCTCCGCCAAAAACTTTCGCTCAGTAACTAAGAGGCAGAAATTCAAAGATCTGCCAATGGAACAAGTCGTAGCGCTTTACAAAGTGAGTTTTGTTACTAAACAATAGTTTGGTGTAGTGCAAACCCTGTGCGCAAAATTGTATAAACGTAATCTGAGAAAATCGGTGATTCGCCACAAGAAAACTTTAAATTAAACGATCTGTCTTAATAGCCGAAGTGTTAAGAGTCTTGCGCGCGGCAGTTTATAGATTTTGTTATATTTAAACCAATATGTTAACTTCCATACTATGATGCTTTAAAGGGTTCGATAGAAAAGGGTCTAAATCCGACCAAAGAAACTATCGACCAGTAAGTCTGTCCAGCGTAGCAGGAAAAACGATGGAAAAGATCGTAAGGAATGCTGTTGTACAATGTACATCACATGGAAGTTAACAACCTCTTCAGTAAGAAACAGTTTGGATTCATTGCAAAAAGGTCAACGGTTCTTCGGTTATTGATAGTGTTAGAGGATTGGACTTCTATATTGGATCACAGAGGGGAAATTGATGTTATATATATAGAGTTCATGAAGGCGTTTGATAAGGTTCCGCATCGCAGATTAATCGGTAAATTAAGAAGCTATGGAATTAACGATCAGATTACTAAATGGGTAGAACATTTTGTGAGCATTCGAAAACAAAGAGTACTTATTAATGGGAATTCTTCTCAAGATCATTCGCTACTTAGTGGTATAACCCAAGGTAGTGTGTTCGGTCCAGTCTTGATTGTAATCTACATAAACGTTTAACAGATTATGCCATATCTAAAACACATTTTTATTCGCTGACCACAACAGAATGTATTGGGAAATTAAAAAAAAAGAGGACAGGGAAATTATGCAGCAGGATCTAGATAGTTTAGCTGAATGGTCAAACACCTTGCTTTGACAATTTCATCCTCTCAAAGCAAAGAACAATCAATTAAGGGGGAAACGAGATGTGCTACAGCATGGCTGGCACAGAAGCAACAGTCAAATTTCATAATATTGGGTCTGAAAAATATAATGGGCGTTTAAGTGAACAAAGACTTGAATTTTGTGTCTCATATGCAACAAGCAGTAAAGAAGACTAATAGCATTTTTGGTTTAATTAGATGATCATTTGTATATTTAGATGAAGTAACACTTAAACAGATGTTCAAGACACTCGTTTGTCCACACTTAGAGTATGTGGCAAGTGTGTGGAATCCGTACAAAGTAAAAGACATTGTAATAATTGAAAGAGTCAAACGAAGGGCAACACATTTAATACCAGGATTGAAGGACTTATCCTACACGAACCGTTCTAAAAAACTTGCCATTCCGACATTTGCATATTGAAGACTGAGAGCCGACATGATAAATGTCTACAAAATATGAAAAAAAATCCACGATAGTTCAGTTACAACAGGAATCCTCGATAAGGACACTTCACGGCGAACAGACACCATTCAGGGAAGTTACAGAAAGGAAACTTGACATCCGTAAATACTCCTTTGGTCTTTGGTCTGTTGTCGTTTGGAAAAGTTTTCCTGATGAGGTCGTACAAGCAACCACAATCAGGGAGTTTGAAACTGGACTGGACAATGATCGGAATAATTTTGAACTAAAATACAATCAGTTTGCTGGAAATAATTTCGTTAGCGGAAGTAACAAATAATGTGTATGCAAATTGTAATATTAGTGATATGGACTAAGGGGCAATGTATGCCTGCGTCCATCAATTATCCTATAAAATCCTATAAAATGGTTCATTGATATTCGGCTGATATTCTACTAGGTTAAGATCACTGTGTTAATCCTGCTGGACTCAAGTTTCAAGTTTTATTCGAACTTAAGGCCATTGGCCCATCAGTATACAATACCTATTACACACAAATCATGGACAATGTACAGAGAATTAAGACAATCATATTCCATTATAATACCCTTAATTTGTTTGCCTCATAGATGAATTTTCCTAGTATACACAATTCTTTAATATTATGGACACTAAATAACTGAACGACTTCAAACACAGATGTTTTTTTCCAATAATATCTTTTGATAAAACGTGATCTGAGATTTTGGAATTTAGAACAGACTAATACAAAATGAAATTCGTCTTCTACTTCAGAGGGGGGTGGGGGGGTTACACTGTTTACAATATCTACGTTCTCTAGGTATATTATTATACCTTCCAACTTCTACAGCCAAAGAATGTGTAGATGTACGGATTCGAGTTAAACAAATGCGATATTGTTACTTTGTGACTCAATGTTACCATTAATTAGCAAACAGTTAAATGACCACCAATATCGTACGATGTTGATTTCCAAAAGGTTTCCATGTAAAGTTGAACTTTCATATATAAACGTCCTTCAGCTTGTTGCGGTAACGACCACGTGTCATAGGAATATAAAAACGCGCAACAAGAGGCTACTTGAAGCTAACGATGTGTAAAATCATTTTTGTCACGGAAGTAATGGTCAACTTTTACATACGGGGTTCAGATCCGCATAGAGTAATTAACATGTCCAGCCAATTAGACCCATGGGAGAACATGCTGTAGTGATACTAACAATACTTTTATAACAAATCTTATTCATTCTGGCGATTGGAAGCTCATCCCAGCTTTAACATGTGGATAAAGACATATGTGCAAATAAATGAGTTTTCATGTATGTGACACTTAAAGGCGGGATAAAGTACGCATGCAGAGACATATTGGGGTTCCGAATTAATATTAAGGGCAATTACAAATAATTGATATATAATGACACGAACCTTATACAAAATGGGTTAAAAATACAGCTCAAGTTATATCAACATGTTTGTTTACAATCAATATGTTAGGCCCGTGTCTATAAATCATTTGTTGATTACGGTTCCAGAGAGATGATCTAGATGCCGATCATGAACTTGAAGTTTTCAACAACATGATTGATTGGATAGAAGACGACAAACAGGCCAGACGTCCACACGCCTCTAACCTTCTGGCCACCATACGTCTGCCATTGTTGTCCCCAGCAACCATCGTCGACTCGGTGGAATCGGTGTCGTTCCTGATGGACATTCCGGACTGTCAGACGCTTGTAAAGGAGGCACTTCATTACCACTGTATGCCATCAAGACAAAGCGTCCTTCAAGTAGGTCATGTTAGGTCTGTTGCTTAAATGAAACAATATCCCAAACATACCTGAGAATTTATTACAATGTGTTGCGTACCTTCCCTCATTGATACTTGAGTAAATATTAGACGTGGTAGGGTCTTAGATCAACACTTGGTAAACGAACAATTTCTTAATAATGATATATTTAGAGGAAAAGAGAGCATTAAAACCTAAAAATAGCTCCACCTATCTTCTTGCTGCAAAATAATTCGTTTGTTGATGCTTGACATCATAGGAAAGATTTATATTCCTAGTACCTTTTAGATACATTTGTACATCTAAAATGTGTTCTCCTTGCGCAGGCATGATCCCCGTGTCCCCAAAACACTCACGTCATGGCTTGTATGATTTAAAATGGTCGCCAATAATTGTTTTACAGCACGATGAAATAAATAGAGCGACATCGCGGTAAATGTAGGATGGTTGGAACGCTTGTTAACCCTGTTAACCGCCCAGGCCTGGGTATCATTAGGTTTTTAGTGGTGTGGAGTCCCACTGTTACCTTGTTAGCGGTAACACGACTGTCGTTAGCCTGTCAACGAATGAAATCGTTAAAGAAAACTCTGTGACTCGAAGGTGTAATTCTTCTAGATTCGTAAATTAAAGTTGATTGTATAGGGTATTGGGATTACTTTTCAAAAGTTTTGGAGCCACAATTTAAGAAAATGATGCTTTTATATGGCCTTGGGAAAAAATACCACTTTGTACATTTTCAAAAGGATTTAGTTCAGTCACATTAAAGGTACAGACATGATGAGCTACAAATACTCGTGTTTGTCCTTTTCAAATTAAGCTACAGATATTAGTGTCGTTTGTCTGTCAATGTCAGTACAAATACTAGTTTTTTTGCATTTTGATTAAAATACAGAAACTATATTGTTAGACCATTTTGATTAAGGTACAGAAGCTAGTTTTAGACAATTCTGATTAGGGAACAGAAGCTAGTTTTAGACCATTTTGATTAAGGTACAGAAACTAGTGTGAGACCTTTTTAATTGGGGAACAGAAATTAGTGTTAGACCGATCCAGTCGAACTACAGCTGTTAGTGTTTGTCGATTTCAATTAAGCTGAAAATATTTCTGGTTTTTTCCCCCATTGTAATTTAGGAACAGATATCATTATTATATTATAACTTGATAAATCTATAACAGCGTGTCTGATTGGATGAAATTGAGCATATGACTGGGTAATTAAACATCATATCAATCTTACGCGCTCGAGTTGCCAAGATAAGTTTTACTCTATTCGGAGCCTCTCTAGAAAAATGAGCGGAAGCCACCACAACCTTGTTCTGAATGGCTGAAGCAGATGACAACAATGGCGTTTCAACTTGATCATGTTTACTATTAGAGTATTGTTTGATTCGGTTTAGTAAAACCATTGTTGTCTTTGCGGTAGGGAAACGCAATTCTGAGATTAATCACGTTTCACGAGGGCTAGAATCGTGTTTCACGAGGGCTATAATCGTGTTTCCCTGCCACAAGGGCAATTAATGTTTAACATTTGGTCTTTAGGATTACAATACAGATATTAGGGTTATTCAATTAGATTCTATACAAATTAAACCAAAGCTACTGTATATGTGTGTATGTGCTATTCATGTACTGGTAAAGATATGGCACGTTCATCTGAAAGTCAAAAGGTCGAGATCACATAATAAGTAAAAATTAACGGTATGACATCACACATTACGACAAATATCAATCACACAAAACATAACTATATTCAAAGCATAATCACATAATCAAAAAAGGATGGCGCACCATTCGTAGACTCGTTCGTTATCATAATACTCCGACAAAAATTGGCAGTCTTCAAAACACTCCCGAAAAGATTGGTCGTCAAAACACTCCTGAAACATAAAGGTCGTCAATCTTAAGAATTGTTTGCGTTATCAAAGACAACTAATGAAAATATGCGGCCTCGCATCCTCGTCATGTCTATATTTGGATATATAATGGTTCCTTTGGGGACGTAGTAGTCAAGTTTTCTTTGTACTTTACTTTCTTACCGACGAATTTAGAACTAAAGTCTTCCATAAACATTATTAATAGCGTGAGTTGTTTCCAATTCAACAATCGATTAACAACACCAGTTGATTTATCAATTCTAAGACAATATTGTAGTTTTAACACATTTAGAGCAGGGAGGGGATGGTTCAAAGTTTGATAATTTCTCGTTATTATAATTGATGACTGTAGCAACCGGACTATTGTATTTAATTACAGTTGACATGTTGTGTTGCGTCATGTAACATCAGATTGAAGCAATTTCATAAATTTCTAACAATTGTGAGCATTCGATGTTTAATTCATACTTTCTTTAACCTAGCATTACAATAATAATTATGTTCTGTTAATTGAAGCTGAAGTATTTCGACAATATAATTAAAAAATAAGAGGTATTGAACAACATTAATAAATGGCATTGTTTTTATTACCAAGTCTCCAAGAACGACCCCACGTAGAACAATCAAGAACCTCAGCCTCCTTACGGTCGGCGGCGCCCCGAGGTTGAAGACAGAGCCAGTCAGCGGAGAGGTGAGACGATACAACGTGGAGGGGAAGGCGTGGGACTCCTTAACGGATCTCCCTGAACCACGTCACCACCACGCAGGTACTTTGATTGATATACTTTTCATCCTTACTGCCTTCCCTCCCTTCTGTCTTTCATCCTTAAGGATACAAATTCTCTCTTCCTTCAACATCTTTTCAACCTTAACATCTCCCCAACTCCTTTCTATTTCCTCAAAAATAAATCTATCAAACGTGACCAACCATACCTTGAACAATTCCACGTCATATTTATTCTATTTTTCTTTAACTTTTATCTCTCTCGCTAAAACCTGTCTAACCCTACCTGTTTCCTCTTCTATCCCACTCATACTCTGTTCAATATTATACAACTCATAAATCTCTCCAGTGCTCTCGGACGAACCTCTTTTTTCAATATTCGATCCACTCCTAAACATCCCCAGTCTAAACCTTTCAAATACTTTCCGACCCAACCTCTTTTTACTAATCTACAGGTCACATTTCTCCCCGATAATCTCCAGTGCGTTCACCTTTTCTCCCAATAGTCTTTATTTGTGTAATTGTTAAGTTCACTTTAAACTATTTGATTGACAAAAACATAAAAATAAATGGGCACAAGCTACACATGAACATTGTGAGCTGTTTGAGGGTAGTCCAGCTCGGAGTGTTGGATGGACGATTTGTCCGTGCTACCCTCCACTTCATGGCTGACCGGCTCGTAGTTAGCGGTATAAACACCTATTTTATGATACACTGATAACAAGTGGTAATCCACACGTAATATAATTTTAAATAAATTATGGTGCAGTGTTATTCATTGTGTTCATACTGTATCTATTACCGATATTACATGTGTGTGTTACGTTCAAGATGCCGGGTGGAAGACGCTGTTGTTTGTCCTAGTCCCTCGGGTTTCCCGTAACCTTGACAGCTAGAGTGATATTGTTTAGTTGTGGCAAAATTAATAACGTATATACTTTACATAGTATTTTCGTATACCTCACATCCCCCTTTTGTTTTAACAATAGTGTGGACCGATTTGGGTTTCCAACATATGGCCCCTATCATCACCGATGACACGTAGAAGGACGAAAACATTATACTGTGCTTTGGTGTATTGTATATATTACCACAGTTTAAATGTGCAATAACGTGTGTGTCTCACGTTCATCTTTAAATAGGATCAGCCTGATGTCCCCAAATTCCATTTTTTTTATGAACAACCACAACAATGCTGTCCCCCAATTGCCTCTTATATGAAGAAAAAAACACTACAATGCTGTCCCCCGATTCCAATTATATGGAGAAAAAACAATACAATGCTGTCCCCCGATTCTAATTATATGGAGAGAAAAAAATACGATGTTGTCCCCCGATTCTAATTATATGGAGAGAAAAAAATACAATGCTGTCCCCAAATTCTAATTCTATGAAAAAAAATACAATGCTGTCTCCCGATTCTAATTATATTGAGATAAAAAAATACAATGCTGGCCCCCGATTCCAATTATATGGATAGAAAAAAATACAATGCTGTCCCGCGATTCCAATTATATGGTGAGAAAAAACAATACAATGCTGTACCCCAATTCCAATTATATGGAGAGACAAAACTACAATGCTGTCTCCCGATTCTAATTATATGGAGAGAAAAAAACAATACAATGCTGTCTCCCGATTCCAATTATATCGAGAGAAAAAACAATACAATGCTGTCCCCAAATTCTAATTCTATGAAAAAAAATACAATGCTGTCCACAAATTCTAATTATATGAAAAAGAATACAATGCTGTCCCCCCATTCCAATTATATGTAGAGAAAAAATACAATGCTGTCCCGCGATTCCAATTATATGGATAGAAAAAAATACAATGCTGTCCCCAAATTCTAATTATATGAAAAAAAATACAATGCTGTCCCCCAATTCCATTTATATGGAGAGAAAAAAATACAATGCTGTCCCCCGATTCCAATTATATGCAGAGAAAAAAATACAATGCTGTCCCCCAATTCCAATTATATGGAGAGAAAAAATACAATGCTGTCCCCCAATTCTAATTATATGGAGAGAAAAAACAATACAATGCTGTCTCCCGATTCTAATTATATGGAGAGAAAAAATACAATGCTGTCCCCCGATTCCAATTATATGCAGAGAAAAAAATACAATGCTGTCCACCAATTCCAATTATATGGAGAGAAAAAATACAATGCTGTCCCCCGATACCAATTATATGGAGAGAAAAAAATACAATGCTGTCCCCCAATTCCAATTATATGGATAGAAAAAATACAATGCTGTCCCCCAATTCTAATTATATGGAGAGAAAAAACAATACAATGCTGTCCCCCGATTCCAATTATATGGAGAGAAAAAAATACAATGCTGTCCCCCAATTCTAACTATATGAAAAAAACAATACAATGAAATATTGAATGAAAATCATGGTCACATGTACAATCGTACCATACCAGGTTAATCATGTCAGCAGTAATGCGAAACATGTAACTACTGTTAGTAGTGTTATATTTACATTCTTGATGTTTGTTCTGTGCATGAATCTACCAACTGAAAACAACTGCCATTAGACTATGAATGCAACGATTCTCGTGCAACCGGTCAGCTGATTTCACACACAATGACAAATTATATTAATACGCTTAGTACCGTTTCTGAGAATAGTTAGCTCCCCTTCTCCGAGAAAACTTTGCAAAATCATAAATAGTGAACCATTGTACTAATTTATTTATTTTTATTTCAAATAAAAAAAAAATAATAATAACATTGTCATATTCAACACTGACTTCCGATTGGCAATCGGTTCCTCGTGGTTACGAACTTTCTAACACCCAAACGTATTGTAATCTCCGTGACATCAACTTGCACATTAAACCCAGAGAACTTTGTAATGACACAGGACACTTCATCCATCTATTTATCATCATTTACATCTGCAGATTTTTTGGCAAACAGCATATTAACGGCTGTACATTTAACTTCAAATGAGCTCTATGCCTACTGCCGACGGGTGTCCTGGATAGTTACTATGGTGACCGATGATTTGAAATTGTGCGGACATAAACTTTTTTTAAATATATAATATGCGGTGGTTAATGGAAAAAAAAACCATCAAATAAGATCAACTTTCAAAAATGAAAGAACTATTAAGTGTTGGTTATTATTAGATTCTAGATATAATACATATTTTTCGTTTCAACAAAATCAGCTGATCAGCGGAAGTTGAACATTTGATGTTTGTGTGTAGGCTGGAATTCTGGCTGTTCCTTTTTTTTTTATAGTTTTCTGTCCGATACTTATATAAAACATAATAAATTAACAAAAAGTGTTTTAACTTTTTTTATTGTAGTTCACCGTAACGTAAATGTTCATGTACACTGCGGCAACGAATAGCAGTAGCTGATTTACAGATCTTCTGAGGAGCGCTTACGCGCTCCACATGCTATGTAGATCAGCTACTGCTATTCATTGCCACAATGTACATGAACAAAAATCCATTTAATCCTATGTGAAAACAAGACACCAGATGAAACACTCGGAAAACTGTAACTGTGTTCCTGTGGGAGACATTACAACAAGGCATCATCCACATTGGTTTGCTGGCAATCCGTCTCTGTGTGTCCTTGATATTCTCATAAAACTGTTAAGTAGTCCTAATTCAACCTAGTACAAGACATTTACGGGAGGATTTATTTTCTTTCCTCGGTTTTTGTGATTTGTCAGTCAATGCGCGTTTTTCTCTGATCTAAGATAAGAAAAAGGATCAATGAAAGCAAAGACGACCGATGTGTCACTCCTGTCACGAGTCACTAACACTTCCGTCACAAGTCACTGTCAATTCCGTCACTAGTCACTGTCACTCCTGTCACGAGTCACTAACACTTCCGTTACTAGTCACTGACAATTCCGTCACTAGTCACTGTCACTCCCGTCACTAGTCACTGACAATCCCGTCACTAGTCACTGTTACTCCCGTCACTAGTCATTGTCACTCCCGTCACTAGTCATTGTCACTCCCGTCATTAGTCAATGTCACTCCCGTCACGAGTCACTGACACTCCCGTCATTACTCAGTCACTCCCGTCACTAGTCACTGTCACTCCCGTCACTAGTCACTGTCACTCCCGTCAGTGACACTGGTACTCCCGTCATTACTCGGTCACTCCCGTCACTAGTGACTGTCACTCCCGTCAGTGACACTGATACTCCCGTCATTACTCGGTCACTCCCGTCACTAGTGACTGTCACTCCCGTCAGTGACACTGACACTCCCGTCATTACTCAGTCACTCCCGTCACTAGTCACTGTCACTCCCGTCAGTGACACTGATATGTACCTAGTATTTGATAACACCTGCATGTCCTGTATTGTAAAACACACTTTGTTTACATGTGCGACCAGACATTGCCTGACGCTTGGTACAAACGTACTATTTCCCTCCGAGATCAAAGCTAGCTATAACTATGATTTCAGTGTGACAAAAAGTCAACACACTGTCGTGTTCAGACAAAAAGAAAATACATTTTACCACCTATTTTTATAACTCCAATCAGAAAATTAATTTCATCGATTTTGTGTTTGTATAATTTTATTAGTAACGTACATGATACATTTCATTTCATTCATTATCACCGACACAGCGACGGCGAAGGTCTCCTGTCCAGTTTGTGGGACCAGCTGTGTTGTGTTGTGTCTATGACCCGTGTATGTCAGATAAGGTCCCGGTACAAAAGCCTGCTGATCAATACCGATCTCACTAATTAATGTATCAATCAATTAACTAATTATAAATTAAGATCAATATTTTAAAACCTAACATAGCATGGTGTTGTCAGCTTATCAGTGTGATGTAATTTACATAATTGTTTTTCATCCAGTTACAAATATTAACTTTTTATATCTTCATTATGAGACGTTTTGGTGCGATGTAAATCAATTGGGTAACGTTCAACCCATTAAGAAATTCTAGAACTCGTGGAGAAATAATGTAGAATATTCAATAATTAATAAACATAATGGAATAATTCTTCAACAAATACAGATTACTTCTATTAATCCGTCT